AGAATTCTTCATTTCCTGTCTTCGCCATACGACACTTTCATTACAACAATAAATGCTGTAGGGGTTCGGTCGGAAGAATGTGCAGGGACTTTTACCTCAGAGTAACAAGTACTTCTATGAGGGTTATGAATGGCAGTCTGTGAGTTTGCCTCCAAGACCAATGACTTCTAAAGAATGTACGATTAAATTATAGTTTTTAAGCTGAAACGTTTCCTGTGATGAAATGAACATAAACCGATAATGATAATACATTTTCATTTAGGATATATCTTTTTTTGTCATCAGCTTCCATCCCCTGCCTATTTTTGACCACTGATATTGAGAATAAGAATATTTTTCATTTTTGCCTGCAGTTGTTCTTACCTCGTGTTGAAGAGATTGCAGCTCTTTCTCGTAAGAGAGATAAACTACAGCTAAGACAAGATTGAGGAGATAGAACGAGCAGAAGAAAATTGTGATCACAAAGTAGAAGACATACCAGATACCCACGGCTCTTACAACCTGTCGTTAACGGACAGAAATATGAATTACGTAAACGCAAGTAACTGTAATGCATACAATTGTATTATGCGCTTCTAAACATAGTTTTCATGTCAAAATGTTCCTAGGAGAGCATTCTTCAGAGCACACGCGATAAAAAGACAGAAATTAATGATGACTTTAGTTTACCAAAAGGTTATAATTATAAATCAGTTAAATCAAAAATTTACTTCTCTTTCCTGATATTGGTATTAGCAATTCCAAATTCAGGATTACCTTGTTGTAAAGGTTTTCCCAGTAATCCATTGTGAGGATCTGGAACGCCATTAATAATGCCCAGCCAATGTGATCGAAGCCAGTAAAACCATAATCAGGGTTGGGTCCAGCGTCCGCCATACAAGTGTAATTAACAGGACAAGAACTGAAAACGATTAATTCATGCGCTCATCTCATTTCAGAATACACATCAGTCGCCCCGTGTTTTCTCTTCTTATATATTTGTATTTATTTGTTGTAGTTGTGGTTATTAAGTTGTTTTCACTTTTTCTTTCCTTTTTTCTCACATCGTTTTGGTTTGAAAATGAATTAAATACACCCAAGAAAGGATAATTTTTATCCTCTCCTTAACACTTGAAACAAGTCAAAAGACAGGACCAAATATTGAAATCTTTACTTTATCAAAAGTAATGTTTCTGTATTGAATAAATGCAAGAATTATCTCGCGGTGCGGGTGTAGAGATGGCGAGTTGGTGATGTACTATGTTTGGTAAAACAGCTGAGCTTGCATAGTATTACCACTAATATAAAAGGCAAAAATAATTGTCGCATTTGCAGTCCCCGCCCTACTTACCCTGCCCAAGAGGAGTTTCCGCAAACAACAGGTTCACCATTTCGCATTAGCCAGGTACCTGCAAAGAACCGATAATTAAGCGTCTTCACTATCAATTCAGCCTTATTCGACCACTCCCGGCGTGACTAGGACGGGTGAACATATAAACAACGGAGTTGATCAATGAAGGTTTTAAAATGTACGCAAAAATTATGTCTTCATTTTCAAGTAACATGCAACCATTTCCCTTTGACCCTCAAAATTGCATAATTACAAAGTGAATTGGTTTTACTAATTGCGCTGGGGGAGAGATTCAGCTGCTAAGTCAGGTTGATCTTACAGGGGTCTTTATCATTTCTTACTTTCATTTTGAATATATCCTCCTATGTCTTCTGTAAAGTTCTCCGGAGGGTCAAGAACACATTTATTCCTCAATTCTCCAACAAACAGCTGCAGACCGATTAGCGCCATGACAGCGAGAAAGAACAGAAACAGAACCAGAACGTCACTCAAAAGCTTCAACGAACGGAGTAAGGTGTTCACCATCGCTCGGAGACCTGTAGTAATTAAGTTTATAATTCTTAAATGATTGAACTACATGAATCAACCTTTAGTGAAAAGGTATGGGATAATGGCCACAACCCATAACGGTGCTTTTACTTACAGGCTTAAGTGTCACAATAACGAGTGTTGAGAAAACTGTCAACTTCGATCCGGTGATACAGTCAGATTCTAAAAGAATAGTGCAACTTTGACAAAAGCGAATGGCTACTGCACCCACCTGACACAACTGATATTGTCCTTAAAGCCCGCAGGACACGGACTGTTCGTATTGCCGTGAAGTTTGCGATATTTGGAGCCATCGTGATGTATCTGAAGCCGAAATTGTAGGGAGAAATGAAAATATGCATAAAAGAAGGGTCCAGGGAATGACTGCTCTTCAGATATGCATTTGAAACTCAGCTGGTACATTTGAAGAGGCGCGGATGAATATGACACTCTTATGTTGAAATACAATGATCTCAAAGAAAATTTGACGTGTTGATGCACTAGTTATGACTATTGCTTTGCTAGTTGTGAATTAAACTGATGTATATTATTCTGCTTGTTCCCACCGAACGCAGACCTTCTTAAAATCTGAAATCAAGAGCCAGTGTGGCTGCAAGTTTATGTGAACGATCCACAGTAATCCGTGTATTGTCATGAAAGAGTTACCTACAATTATATAATATAATTTTTGGAAGGGTACTCACCTCTCTCCTTTCTACAACGACACGTGTGTAACAGCTAAACTCACCCTAAAACAACTACTATGAAATCAAGCCAGTTCCAAGGATCTCTAAGGTAGGCGTACGTGTGAAGTATAAGTCCACGTGATATGATCTTCAATAGCATTTCGAGAGTGTATATTGCAGTGAACACGTACCTAAAATCGACATTCCAAAAGACTCTGTCAAGTTGAATCAAAGCTATCGCAAAGATAATGAAACGGGTGGAAGAGATGTTATGATGAAAAATAGGACTATCCGAAACAAAATAATGGACATCAACCATTATTTTTTGCTCTAATGTAATATCGAAGATACATTAAAAGTTGGAGGATTATCTTCTTTTGGTAACCCATATAGCTTAATCCTTTCATACAGTCGAAGCTCTGGGGAGAGGCTTGACTATGAGCAGACTCGCAAATTCTAAATGGGAACGAAGGCCAATATAAATTAGAAACCCATTTGCAGCCTAACTGGGTTCACCTTTCAGATGTTTTTGAACCCAACTGGCTCTAATAACTAGCGATAAAAATGATTACTTACTCAGCTTCCTCAGGAGGGTCTTTTAGCGCAAGGAACACGCAATTTACCAAAATCACTAGAATGATAATCACTTCAAAATATCTTGCATGAAGTAATCAAGAAAAAACCACAGATCCTATATAATATCTTGGATACAAGCATTTTCGAATGACATACAAACAGAAGAGTTACTTTAAAGCGTATCCGTCACCATCTCATTAAAATCACTATTTTTCTCCAATGGAGTTATAGCTCATGCACGGTAGTATCCCAAAGGAAGCCTGAAGCTCCGTTTAACTCGCTGAATATGCATGCAAAGGATACTGATTGGTAACCACACTTATAGTCCACCTTCTAAGAGGGTGTAAAGGTCCAAAGAGCCACAAAGATCGCGCTCTGTTGAACCTGAACATGTGATGCCCAATCGATGTTGTACCATACTGACGTAACACAAGAAAGGTATCATCAGCCGGAACCTGTATGAGATAAAATAAACTCTTCTGTCTCTTCTGTATGATTTCTCACACCATGTTAAGTCATGAATTAACAATAGCTGTACATACATTCTTTCCAGTGGCATCGTAGTCCTCTAAAGGCATGTTTAAGAAATGACCTGGATCAATTGGGGCCGATGGCATGGATTCTTCAGAACCATCCCCTTTTTCTAACTCCGAGGTCTGAGGGTCTGCTTCGTTGGTGGCCAAAGCCTGTACCTGTGCGAGATCTCCCAAGCTAGCGAAGGTCACAACCTTCTTTCGTCTTCGTGGGCTAACTTTTAGTATTTCATCGGGATTAGCTACATCAAGAGCAGATTTCTGTTCGTCCTCTTCATCCCGTGTCATCTTGTTGGACTGCGGGGCACCAACTAAAGGCATCAGACCAGTGCCTGGATAGAAGAGTTAAAGAAGGATGAGCGACGAAGGTGAAAAATTATTGGATGTTAAGGTTTAGTAAATTTAAATTTTAGATTTCCAGGTATGTACGGCAGTATGGCTTTCTGTCTACTTATTGATGTATTGTGTCACTAAATCGACTCATATACTGCATTAACATTTATAGTCAATAGCTTACGGAAATAGCATTCATGAATAAGCTTTCTGCCAACATGTTTTTATTAAATGATTTTTGAGAGCCTCGATCAATTATTTGTTGTTCCGAAATTTATTTTTAAGAGACCGAGGAACGGGTGGCAAGTTCGGAAATCCAACAATGTATTTCATTGTCTGGGAAACTTTCGAGGAGAATGGATCTAATTTTTCTTGTTTTTGGTTTTTTTTTTTACAGCAAGGTCACTTTATTTTAATTATTCAAATTTAAGCATGATCATCCTCCTCTCCATGGGCATAACTACAAAAGATTATTTTTATTGGTAACTGAATTGCTTGATCGATGGCAAATTATGATTTTTTTTTAAATCAGAGTGAAGATTTGTCTGTTGAGTTTCCAGTACCTATTGATGCGATCGATTCGTCGCATTCGTCCTCTTGAGAATTCCTGTTTTCTTTTTTTGTGACAGCCTCCCATTAATAATCCAGAATTTGAATCTTGTTCATAGATTTAAGACAATGATGAGACGCGTTTCCCATATCTCTAGTCAAAACAGAATTCAAAAGAATATTCTAAGAATTCCGGAAACTTAACCAGAAGAGGTCAATGCTCAAATTATAAATTTCAATTCCTTTATTATAGTAGGTAACCTGGAGAGAGTTGAGCTACATTATTAAGCAAACGTGACAGGAGATCAAGAAATATTCAAAAATTATCATGGAGTTCAAATTTCGTCACTTTAAAAATCTGGTGTAAAAACTGTACCGTTATATTTTTGATGAAAATGGTGGGATTTTCTGTTTAAAATTGGCTCTTGAATCACATCACTGATAGGAAAGATTTCATAAAGTTATAAACAAAGAGTATTGTTGTACTTCGAAACACGATACTTCGCAAAGGAAGAAAACTTTAGCGATTCTGCAACTTCAATGGTGGAGGTGGTCAGTGAAGGTCAGGAAATCAAGGTAAATTGGGTAAAGTTTTGTCACCGTGTTCGAAAATTTGAATATGCGAGTATGACGACACATTGATGTAGGCACAATTTCTTTTATCGAGAGTTAAATCGCGGCAGTTTAGCGGTTGATTGACGCATGTTTTGTATGGAGTATAAAGCCTGCATTTTTAAAAAATAAGATGCTCCTTGGAGAACAACCGCTAAGGATAAATGGAAACTTTGATAGATGTAGCAATTTCATTTGCTATTTCTAAAGGAAATCAGAACATCGGCGAAATTAAAACTGTTGTTGAAATGCTTTGCAGACGCACAAATTATTATTCAAGATCTTGTATAATTGCTGGTCTTTGTTTTGAAATCTTTCAAGACGGTAGGAAATAAGAATGTATCATTTTACAAATGACTGTTTTGAAATCAAAACTGATGTACGGCCGTGTTCATTACATGAATCAATTGACCAAAGCAGCAGAAGCGTGCAATAAATCATTTTATTTCGGTTGATCTCAAAAATGTTCATGGCATTTTCCAAAGCAACTTCCCGAAAAAAAGGTAATGTTCAATGTTTGAGTGTTAGACAAACATTTAGAAGAGGTTTAAAGCATTTAAGGAAAAATGTAATAGGAGTAAGGCCATAATTGTTCGTCATAGATGATATGAATGAAATAGAGGATTTCCTCTTGTTTCAAGCATGATTTTTTTATTCTGATATTATCTTAAACTGACGCAATGAATGTATCAGTCGTATCCTTTACACGTGAAGATGACTATATTGAAGTGGTATTTGACCTTCAACGAAGGACTTTTTTATGTTACCAACATTACCTAGCTTGAGAGATAAAAGAATACTTAGGGAAGTTGATTTTGGCCATGCTTTCGTAGGTAAGTTCTTTCAAACTGCCTTTAATTTATGGCAATGTGAATTACTATGTATTCTTTACTTTAGTAACGTGTTAAAGAGAACATCGCATGTCATGAGGTATGTTTATTTTAAAATGTCTTCTTTAATAACCTTTGAATGTTTTCCTTCAGTAGCATTTTAGATTAAAAAAACGGCAAATATTCAATGAGGCCTTAAACTTCTGTAAAATTGACGTTAAAATACTTTAAAACTCCACGGTATGCCGTGGATTTTCACTATTGTAAGTCTTTAGTAAGAATTTTCCACCTTAAGTTACCCGACCGCTCACTGAATACTCTATTGCGTCTTCACTCACGGAAAATTCTACAACTAAAATATAGAAAACGAGAGAAGTCACATTGGAAGACCCATTGTAGCGTCCTAGCCTCAGTGATGGTCTAAGCGCTTTGGTCTAGTGCAAAGAATTATCAAAAAATCTCGTTAAAATCTAAAGATCTTGAGTTAGTCCCACACTTTGTCACGTGTTTACTTTAAACCCATCGTAGCGCTAATTAATTATATTTATTGACCGAAGCGAATTATGCATATCTGCACGTACAGTGTAAGGATGGAATTGGAGTCAATCAACAGTCTAAGACCCCGAATTAATACCACCCTTCCTTTCTTTTTAATTTAATGATTATTTGTCCAGAAAAACATATTGACCTTGAACAATACTTGAGTGTCAAAAAAACGTTTTCAGCTGGTAAAAGAGGCAACTTTCAGCGTTGGAAGAATTGTTTAAATTATTTCGGGTATCGTAACGTATGAAAAAAGTAATGGAAACGTAAACTGCTCATTTTATTTCGACAGCAAAATAAAGATATACATCTTTTCCCAAAAGAAGGAAACAATTTATTATATTTCTAGATGGAGACCGCCACGCCATCTAAATTTTCTTTATCCTTGCGAACTTACTTATCTATTATGCCGACATAGTAGAAAATCCTATCCAGTTTCACGCCAAGATCTTTTGATTCCACAAGTTATTTCGATTCATAACGTTTGTTGCGGGGTTTTTTGTGCCTTGCGACTTGCGTGATGATTTCTTCGCTACAGACCTGAGTTATCACACTGATAATAAAAGGCCCTTACGTGCAAAGCACTGTTAAGGTTAATTAACGATGTAAATAAACACCTGACCTGAGTAACATGTAATTTAGTTCACTCCTTTGTAAAGACCACAAGCTCGATAATTTTTCAGCTCGCTAGATAGCAAAAAGGAACATTGGCGGTGTTAGGCAAACTTATTTGGCAGGATGCATGCTGTCAACCCTTCCCTTCCTCACCCTCTCCCCCTTCTTTTTCTTTCGTAAATTTTCATTCAGATTTCTTTTTAAGCGAGCAAATAATACGTCAACCATTTAGCATTGCGACTAATTTCTTTTGCTGCATGCTGACAAACCCATTTTAAACTCTGGTATTAAGAATTTATAGCGACCCAGAGCCATTAATTATGTTGTAACAACAAGAGATTTCGAAAATACGAGAAATACGAAAGAAATTTAGAAAAGTGTAATTTCGTTAAGTGGTCTGCATGAAGAGAAATCTCTCTCGTCATTTAAGGTGCCCTTATGATAAAGTCTAACCTACAAAAGAAACAACACGTGATTTATTACGCTGATATTGTCATATGATTCTTAACCAATCAGAGTATGAGCAGAATCCAATCTAAACTAAGAAATTATAAAAAGATTTTAAACTATGTTTTGAAACAGAGATACCAGTCATTTACTGTACATAGTGACAGAGCTTATGCAAGATTTTATTCAAGTGATAAGCAAACAGTAGGCTTATATCAAATCACACAGAATATTTAATAGGCATGACTGGATGTGAATTCCAAATTACTGTTGACCTATAACCCTCGAAGATCGGTTTGGCATCCCGTAAGTTGTGTATTTACCATGGCCGTAAATCAAGTCGTTTTTCGCCATCCTGATTTAGGTGAAGCGGTTTTATCGCAAAAATGAAAACGTTCGCCAGAAAGGAGAAGCAGTCGGCCTCTTTTAAAATGTGTCGTTTCACCTAATAAACGCAGTGTTATTGTTTGTTGAGCAGGTGATACAAGGGTTATTAACTTCCTCTGTATAGTGTTATGGTTATTAATCGTTTGCTCGAATGCATCAGGATTTATTTGCAAAGATCACCGATTCCCACACTCTTAGTTATCGTTAGTCACTTCCAGATTTTTACACCAATAAAGGCAAAAAGAAGTCCATCTTACTTTTAAGAGCAAATAGGTTCTGAAATTTGGCAGTCATTTTGAAATACATGCGTCAAAAAACTTTTCGTGCTTAAAATTGTTTTCGATAAGTATTACACCTCGAGCAAAACGCGATGCCAACAATGAAAGGGCGAGATAAAATAGAGAAGAAAAAGGAGAGAGATTTGTAGCTCAAAATTCTATGATATGGTATTCGCTCCCAGCATGACGGTTCATTAATCAGTGACATGTTCTCGAAAAGACACCGAGTCATTACACTCCCCAGAAAATGTTTCCTGGAGGCCTTGTAAGTTTTGACAATTTTACAGATACTTAATATCTCGGGAGTAGGGCACAAATGAGGCACTTCCATAAATCTCAATAAAGTCAGACTCGAATAAAAGAGAAAGTCGAGCAAACAATTTTCATGTCATCTAAAATTTGTTTAAGAGAAAGTATATCCTTAGCGACATTGTGTCACATGCAAATTTACCCCCGAAAGCGTAGAAAGCTTATTCATTAATCGTTTAACTTTAGGAATAAATAACTTCAATGCTTTTTCGGATTGACAAGGATTTCAGCTGAGACCTAACAGGTTTTTCTTTTGTTTTTGTTCCTTTTTCGCAGCAAAAGACAAAGCTTTTTGAAATATGCAAAGTTTTTTTTTTGTTTTGCTTTCTCGACAATATGAGGAAAATCCCTTTCTTATTAAAGGTACTCAATCCGCCCGCCTTATCTAAATCATTCATGCACTGCCCTAGAGGTTTACGTAAATGTTTATCTTATGCTCCACAATTACTTTTTAACTCTTAACCAATCATCTTCGAAGATATGCATAAAAACGGAACCTGTTTTATACACTTTTGATTGACAAGTATGTGTACACCGTTTTGAAATGCAATTGATATGAGTTTCTTCCAACACGTTGTATGCTGTCAGCGATTGCGTTTGCCTTGTTATTCCTGAATTTCCGTGCGTGAGGTAAACTTTTTGTTTGATTTCGTAAATGTTCTGATTATTTTAGGCCCAGTTTCAACTTCTGTTACATTTGTCAATTCATCATTGCAGAGGGGAAAGCTCAAATTACAAGAAACCGTCTTGAATACGTTAGTGTTCTCTAAAGCGCCCATGTTTGGAAGGTCCAAAGTATGTAGCAAAGTTGTAAGTTGTATGTACCAAACGAATTGTATTATCTAGCTTTGTTTTTCGGAAGTGACGGTAGAACACTCTCTTCGCGTGGATCTCAGAAATCGTTTGTTTAGTAGTACTTGTAACGTACAGCCAGCTGCCTTGATACAGAAAATGATAAATTAACTTGTTGTCCGGTCACGATATTCTCTCGCTTTCACGCAGCATATCAAAACAGACGAGTTAAAGATAAAAAACAAAATAGCTCAGTTTTCTATTCCTTCTTGCTCCATTCTGACTTCATACCCTAATAGTAAATATATTTTTTTACTAAATACAATATTCGTAAATATCTGCAAGTCGCAGTTAACCAATACCTTCACTTCGTTTGAAAAATTATATTGCAGGCTTAACAGCGAGTAATTGTTTCATCACCAATTTTCCAAAAGAGAAATATGCTAGTCTTAGCTTGAATGTGCTCCTGACTTAGAATATCAGTTGCAGTCTCTGAAAATATTTCTTAGCTGCAAATAGTCATCCTTTTAACCTGATATAATTTTCCTGAACTACAAAAAGTACAATTTCGATCGATTGATATTTTAACTACTCTTATAGATATAATTATGGTTGCAGCTAGGTTCTTGGGAGTTAGATTCTCCAGTTATTCTCAAGATGATTTTACAACAAATTCCAAAATCTACATTTAAGTAAAATTGAAAAATAAGATAATAAATTAAGAATGAAATATGCCACGTGGAAGCTTCATTAGACGCGAAATAACACCATCTATTGAAATAAATAGCGCATAATTCTTATGGAAGAAGTTTGGAGAACAGGACAAAAGAAAATCTCAAGGATGAAATTTGTCAACACGTGTTGCTCGGCAAGTTCCTGTTTTCAAAGAAATTGCACATACGATTTTGTTTTCCTGAATAATTACTGTTCCTTTTTTGTTCCTTTTTTGTTTCTTTATCAAACGGCTCTAAGCGATCCTTTTTAAGTTAAGGGTAGAACTTTAAGCCCATAAATGGTTTTAAAGAACTGCCTCGTACACTTTAAGTATATAAGTACGTCAATGTCTACTCTAAAGAGGAAACTGACTTCGATCTGATGATACAGCTTCGTCTAGTAAAATCAACTTTCTATATGTCGAAACTTTCAGAAACTCTCTGGATACGCAAACAAGAAAGATATCCAACACAGATTTTTTAAACAATAACTGACCAGATGAATTCTTCCGAAAGCATTTTCAACTGACACAATCATTTCCAAGAAAATTAATCTATTTTTGACTTTTAAAGTATGTAAACGTTTAAAATTCATTAAAACACGGTCACATCTGCTGCTTTGTTAATTTTTGGATCGTGTTGCTATTAATACTGTGTCTACTTTATTACCATTGCTGGTTGGCTGTGATTTGCCAAGTAGTGTCATTATGCCGGCAAACGAAAAAGTGCCCACTGTTACCTAAAAGGAGATTATTTCAAGGAAGGAGGCGGCTTTTATATCAAAATTAAACCAAAGAAAGCAACAACTTTCGCTTTGACGGTATTATCTATATAATCCGCCCCTTATTGTGATGGCAAATAATTTATCCTTACAATATCACTGCTGAAACAGACATTAGGGTCAGAGGCTCTTGACAGGTGAAAAAATTCTCCATGTCAGCACCATAGAAAATACCTAAGGAACAGTAGGGAGAATGTGGATACCCATGTTCAGGTGCAAAGGGTTAAAAAGTTAC